TGTCCGAGCCCCGTGGCTGCCCTCCCGCACCTGCTGCTTCTGCTCCTCGCTGTCCGGGTGGGCTGCAGCTCCCTGGAGAAAGAGGAAACCCACCACACCTTGCAGGTGCTGCCAGGTCCCTTGTCCTTCTGAAGCAGCAGCTATGCTTTGGCCCGATGCTGGTGAGCACCCCCAGGCAGCCTGGCTGCCTCCAGTGTCGGGGAGATGCCCAAAGCCTCTTTGTGAGAGCTCAGCAGCAGAAGAGCTAAAAGCTCCTCTGCTCCCACCCACAGCTCCAGGAGGAGCCCCACTCCATTGCACAGGTCCTCAGCTCAGAGCAGGACCTTGCGCTGGGAACCACTCCCCCACCCAAGGGCTGCTTACCCCTTCTGCAGCACCCAGCTGACAGCGTTGGATGGGGCCGGGGGCCAAAGCCCAGCGTCCATCCTCCCTCACACCACTGACCTTCGCAGCCTCCACCATCTTGGCAGTGGCATCAGCCAGGATCTTGGCCGCGCTCAGCAGCTTGCGCGAGTTCTCCAGGTCCGTCTCACCCTCCGCGTCGGCTTTGATGGCATTGACGAGGTCAGAGGTGGCCTGGGCCAGAATACGAGCCTGCCGCACCATTTCCCCTGGGACAGAAAGGAACGGTGGCCTGTTAGCAAGTCCCATGGGCTCCCCGATACCTTCCCGTCCACTATGCTCTACCATCAAGGTGCCATCAGCTGCTCTCACCAGCATCGCCCATAGAGCTGAATATGTTCTCGGTGACGTTGAGGATGGTGTCGGTGGCCTGGTCGTAGCGCCCGATGGGCTGCCCACCCAAGGCGTGCTGCTTGATGTGCTGCAGCAGGTCATTCAGGGCCTGGGTGACAGCTGTGGCTGCCACCCCTACTTGCTTCAGGAGCTGGTCATCGTTGGTGGCCGCCTTGGAGGCCTCCACGCAGCCCTCTGCTGACTTGGCCACCAGCTTGCCAGCCTCAATCAGCTGCTCCTGGCAAACCGGGGAGCTGATTGTGGGAGCCACAACCTGGAGGGGAGGAGAAAGGCTGGGCAGCGAGCGTGGTGGGCTCCTTGCAGGAGCTGTGCAGGGACAGCTGCCCCCAACTTCTGCTCCTCCAAAGATGATATTCAGTGCTTGGGCACAGTGGCAGGAACCCCAGCCCGAGGCAGCCCACGCTGCCTAATATCCTGCCTGAGGATATGTG